GTTTGGCTCAGTGGATAGAGCATCAGCCTGCGTACTTAATGGTCCCAGGTTTGATTCTGGTCAAGGGCATGTATCTTGGTTGTGGGCACATCCCCAGTGGTAGGTGTGCGAGAGGCAGCTGATTAATGTTTCTCTCCCATCAATGTTTCTAACTCTCTATTCCTCTCCCTTCCTCTCTGTGAAAAATCAAAAAAATATATTAAAAACAAAACAAAGTAACAAAAAAATAACCAATAAAATTCGCAGGAATAAATTCAACCAAAATGTGAAACATCTGTACATTGAATACTATAAGACAGTGATGAAATGAATGGAAGAAAACACAAATAAGTTGAAAGACAACCTGTGTTCAAGGATCTGGAAATGAAATATGGTGGAGACAGTCGTAGTACACAAAGCAATCTACAGATCAAATGCAATCCCAATAATTCCAATGGTATTTTACAAAGAAATGAATAGAGAATCTTCCAACGGAATCAAAACCTCCATTAACAAAATCAATCTTGAGTGAGAAGAAAGCTGGTGGCATCACACTTCCTGACTTCATTTTATTACAAAGAGAAAGCAGGCCAACAGTGTGTTGCTGGAGAAACACAGACACATACATCAACAGAAAAGAACAAAAAACACAAAAATAAGCCCAGGCACAGACTTTCAAGTATCTTTGACAAAGCAGCAGCCACAGAAGGAAGGAAAGATAGTTTCTTCAACGAATGGGGCTGGTAATAATCAACATTCCCATGTAAGACAACAAAGCTGGACACTGCTGATAAAATTTAACTCAACCTGCAAAACAGAATTAAATGTCAGCGCTAAAACTTAAAATTCTTCAGGACAACCTAGAGAAAAAGTTTTGGAGGTTTGTTTTGGACAGAATTTCCTGAATGTGACACCAACCACCACACAAAATAGAAAAAATGAATAGTCCAGATTGCAACAAAGAAAAGTAGCGCCTTCACTGCACAACAGCAATAAACAAAATGTGGGAACCAAGATGGCGGCATAGGTAAACACCGGAGATTGCTGCCTCGCACAACCACTTCAAAAATACAACTAAAAGACTGAACGGACATCACCCAGAACCACAGGAAGGCTGGCTGAGTGGAAATTCTACAACTAGAAGTAAAGAGAAAAGCATACCGAGACTCAGAGGAGGCGCAGTGCAGAAGTAAAATACTAAGGTGCGGAGGTACACGCGGAGCGGGCTGGCAGCTGAGGGCGCAGTTGTCTTTTGCAATCGGGAGGGAGTCTCAGGCTCTGAGCTCCAGTTCCGGGCCAGTCTCTAGGGACCCAGACTCATAGGGGAGAAGCAGGACTGTCTGGCAGTGGTTGGAACTCGAGGGCAGCTTTCTCTCTGAAGGGCTTGCAGCGATTACCGGTACATTGAGAAGCAAAGCCTCTGAGGGCAGGTCTGAGAGCAGCCATAACTGCTAGCCCCGCCCTGTTGATCCCTTGGGACCCGCCCCGCCCAAGGCCTGCAGGGAGGCTTTTGCGGGATAGCCTCAGGCAAAGGTTAGATTAGCACCTCCCTAGATATCCAGGAGCCAGGAAGCCCAGAGGTCAGAGTGGGACCATCCAGTTTGAAGCTCCGTGGAAACATAAAGGACACACTCAAGGGGCAGACTCAGTGAGCACCAAAGCCCCATCGAAGCAAGTCTAGCCCCAGAGGGGTGTCTCCAGCACAGAAGTTCTCCCACTGCAGACACAGCTGATTCTCACAGCCAATTGGCCTGGAGGTCAATTCCTCCCAGTGATAACTACAACAATCAAGGCTTAA